GCGCACTGCGTCAACGTGCGTTGGTCGTCACGTACCGCGCCGCTCGACCGGACCGCGGTCCAAGCCAGGAACAGGCGAAACGCGTGACACATGATCATGGTACCCGTGTACGGCCGTCGTAATGGATCGTCGTCGTCGTCGTCGTTTCCGTCTCGACACGTCGAAACAATTAAAATAATTAATTGCTTTTCCGGAACAACGCGTCCGGGTAAACATATTCTGACGGTCGCACAAATACGTTTTGACAACCGACCCCCGAGGACGATGTGTAAAAACACTCGTTTTGAAAGCCTTTGTTTAGTGCGTGTTTAGTGTACTTCGAAGTGTATTCCATTGTTTCGAATTATTTTGTAACACTATTATTACCGTTAGAACAATGCGAACCGCAACTGCTGTACGGATAATTATATAAACATTTATTACGATATTGACATCGTTGTCGACAGGAATATTTTTGTTTTTAATACGAGTTGATAAGTCAAATTGACGTTGATCAAAATTCGATTAAGACCAGTAAATACACACACAACTGTTTAAAGCTCACGACAAAAACAATTATTGTTCATCTTCACATTTTTTGAAGTAATATTAGATTATGGACCTATTCCGAATGGAATTTTTGCATTGTATAAAATGTAAAATTATAAATTCTATTACCCTTAAATATTATAGTCAATAAATGCTGTTGTAAGTGTTCCATAACTAGCGATAATTTACATTTTTATCATAAAAGAAACTCTTATATTATTAAATTCAAGATTTTAGGCTATAAGTATAAAAGAATATTAGTTTGAATTAAAATAAATATAAATTACAATGAGCTGACATATATAATCTATATGGCTGTAAAACGTAAAACTTTAAAGCAGCATAAAATACAATTCTTACAGGACGTTTTACATGTCAACATTTTTGTTTGGCTTAAATTATTTTCATTTACGAGTACATCATAAGTTTCATTTTCTTGTTCTTCATCTGATGCAGTCATTTCTTTTGTAGTGATATCTCGAATTGCTACATTTTTTATAACCGGCAATTTTTTTTACATAATCTTGTAATTCAGAATAGATGTTTCCAGCGTTAATTATTGGGTCGAATCTAGTCAGAACTGAGTTTATCTATTCTCAAAATAGAATGAGAAGCATTCTCTAAAGTAGAAAAATTATTAGGATCCACGTAATACATATTTTGGTACAATGCATCATAGATAAATCATTTTTCAAAACTCGTTATAGCTTGATCGTACAAATGATAAATCATTACTTTATAGTTTTTTTCATGATCAGTTATCGACTCATTGCTAACTTTTTCTCCAGACATTTTTTTCTACCTTCTTGTTCGTTTTGAAAAAAATGATTCAGATATGCTGTATTCTAAATTTCTTTCTTTCAATTTTTTGTTAATTTATTTTACATATATATTAACTTTAACGGTGGTTCCAACAAAGTTTCATGATATATTTTTAAGATTATCAACTTTTTTATTAACCATGGTGAATACTTGCACTATATTCATTCCTTTAGTTTGTCAGTATAAAGAAACTAGTGTTGTATTTACAAATACTTGAAAAAATACATGAGCTATAAAGATTATTTCATATTTCAATAATGAATCAATTAATGTTTTTACTCTATATCTTACTTTAGGAGCAAATTTTTTAAACACAAATAATTCATGTATTGTTAAAATTACCAAAAACTTTGCTTAAACATCTATCTTTGGCCCACCATCTTGTCTCCTCTATTACTGAAATTAATTTAAATTTATTTTTACTTTACCATTTGGCCATTTTTAAATATGATTTACGTACAAATACCGCGCATGTATTAAGATGTCCAAAAAGTGTATGCTTTCACATCATACTTTTTTTATTTAACCATACTGTTGTAAATTCAAATATCAATAATATAATTAAGACGTCATTGAATTATATAATCATAGATATTTAATTAATAGTATAATATAATACAAATTTAATCAATGGACATAGGACGCAAGAAGGTTAAATAACATAGTTTCATCACTTCTGATGAATACCGTAATTTGCGCAATAAGACATATTATTTTATCTAATTTAGTTTTGCCAAATATTGTAAATTACGTAATAGATCAATGTTATCATATCTCTACTCCATTCAACATTGGAAGTTCTCGTATCAATTATCGTACCATATATGCAGCCTCCACATTTTTTATGCCTCTATAACTCAATCCTCTTTTTCCAATTAATTTAATGGTACCAATAACTCTTTCTAATACAGCTATTTTACGTTGAGTTTCATAAAATCTACCCGATTCAAAGTAATATTTTATATTACTAGACTTTAAATGGAACAGAAACGCTTCACAACAAATTTCATGTTCACTTGATTTCTTATGCTCTTTAATCCTAGCATAAGAGTTATTTGAATAAAAAGCTGTGCAACTAACATTGAATCGATTTCGTTCATTATTTAAAGCCAAAAAGAAAGAACGAAAAAAGTTATGACTTTTAGAACAATATAATAGCCATTTTCGTTTGAAAGTTTGTGAATTTTTTTTTCGATAAAATCCAATTATGTAGTTGAATATTACATTATTAACTGGCTGTTTTGGATGAAACTTGAAAAATAGATGAAGATTATTATGATTAGGTTTCTTGAAATATTGGTCATCTAATAAAAATTCTTTAATATTCTAAATGGCAAATAAAAATAATAAAAAAAAAAATATATACCATTATAAATTAACAGAAAAAATGTATTTTAATTTTAAATTGAGGTGAAACCAACACTATTTTTATATTAATTATAGTTGTACCATTTCACATTAAATTTAATTTTTGTCTTAGTAAATAATGTTGAAGCTTCACCAATACAAACGATAAAGCTAACTGATATTATCAGATCCGAATAAACGGTCAATTTCGAAGGACAAAATTTAAGTTAATTTAACTATCCAATTGTTGAGTTATTTTTTAGAAACAAAAGAATGAAAAAAAAAGTTCATTTTTACAATTGTAATATTATAAATTATGAATATTATTTCCTAGATCAATTTAGTATTTTTGAAACAGAAGTAAATATGTATCACAGTGTAAAAAATTCATAATTTATTCAAAATATTTGTGTAACAGATTGCAATAAAGAGATGGCACGAGAGACAGTAAGTTGTCCTTGTTTAAGTAATAAAATTATTTAATTTGAACAACACCAATTAAACTCAATAAATATTTTACTATTTTTGATATCTCAAAATTTTATTTCAGTGAATTAATTTAAATAAATAAAAAACTTTATTCTTCAATAATAATTAATCTTCGAAACTTCTAGCTCTAAAAACCAAAAAATGTGTATATTTATAAATATTAACTATCGCATTTTTAACTATCGAATAGTTGTTCTTACAGTTTATAAATTTATAATACATGAATGATTTTTAGATTCTGAGTAAAAATAGTAATATATACATTTTACCATGTTGTGTGTTTTTTTTCATTTAATATTTTTTTTTTGTGTATGTTATCACAATAAACCCTAGTAAAAATTATCCTAGGAATAACTTTTGGGGTGGTATTTTAATAGTAAATATTGTTTAGTTGGTACTTTGAAAAAGTCATTTTTTGAATTTCCCAACAGTTTTCCCAATAATTGTGGGAAAATAACGGAAAAATGATGAAATAATCATATAACAATTACAATACTCCAGCTGCCAAAGACATAGTCATAATATCTATCAAGTTGTGGTCTTCAATGAAGGTCTCCCCCCTGTTCGTAGGTCGTAGTTGTCGGAAATATAAATTTTATTAATATTTCGGGCAAACACCTAACTCGAGATTTACTGCCGTGCATGTACGTTGTCTACCCCCTTCCCATTTGTAAAGTATTGCGTCATTGTGATTTATGGTTTTTTTTTTTTTTTATTATAAAATAGAATATGATAACTATAATAATTTTAATGTTCATTTTCCTCATTAACCGCCTTTATCGACATTTTACATAATAATAATGAGTTTTGTTTTAACACATTATTTTTCCACTTATTAATCTACTACGATGATAACGTATTTATTATAATTAATTACGTTCTGACCACTCCTAGCGAATACACTTTTTAAAAGTTCAAAGAACTCTAAAGAAAACTATAAAAAATTCAAAATAACAATGAATTCAAATGAGGTCAATTCGATTCGATTTCATGTTCATAAATCTTTCAACCATCGACAGGATTAGTCGATTTTTTAGAGAAGACACAGAACGAACTGAACGCTCAACAACTTATGAAAAAAACCAATGGTAATTTATATTAAACTATTTATTATAGATATAATTTAAATCGATTAATAATTTTTTATAGAAACGAGAACCGAAAGTGTATTTAAAACGCAATAAAACACAAGCCTGACAAAACTTGAAACTTCGCTGCTCGAACAACAAATTACCGAAATCAACAATGAGTATAACAACGAATTAAGCGATAGTTACGAATGTTCCGAAGATTGAACCGGAACTGATCCCGGGGGAGAAACAGAAATTAGAAATTATGAGTATACCATTAGATAATTTGACGTCTTTAAATTGCAATCTCGCTGGTGCCAGGAGCAACGGCGGTGTTGGTTTGATTGCAAACAGAAATGGGTTCGTATGCAATTGGCTAAAGTGATTTACGATATCGAGGACAACAAGGACAGTTTGGTGTTTTATTCACTGTCGATACTCATATTGATGATTTCAATTTTCCAGACCAAGAACATGAGTGAATTGTGAGTTTTATTTTAATAATAAAAAAGTTGAATGTATATTAATTATTTAGTTTTTTTTTTTCAATATAGTTTACACCCGAAGAAATTGATATCTTTAATACAGGAGACAGCGACAACGTCGGAGGTGATGGAGACGACTCAATACGAATCAGTAATCCCGGTATTTACAGAACTGTTGACGACCATCAGACAGAAAGTCACGATGTCGCGAGTCGCTAATATCTTGGCCGTTTACAATTGGGCAGGAAACATTGTCTGCATCTCCGACGTTATTCTACCACCTCTGGACGTGATAGAGTTATTCACCACGTTGAAAACGTCAAACGATATCTGATCCACCGCAGGCTCCAAACATTCGTCATCGTCAGCGAACATATGGTCCACGCCTGTTTCCAGTCACACCAACAGCCGCCGTAGCTCCTGACTCTAGCGAGATAGTGATTTCCGTAGGTATAGACATCAAATTATCTAATGGTATACTTATAGTTTCCAATTTCCGTTTCTCCCCCGTGGTCAGTTCCGGATCCGTTTTCGGAATATCCGTGACTGTTGCTTAATTTGTTGTTGTACTCAATGTTGATTTCGGTAATTTGTTGTTCATGCAGCGAAGTTCCAAGTTTCGTTGTATTACGTTTTAAACACACTTTCGATTCTCGTTTCCACGAAAAAATTAATCAATTTAAATTATATTTGTAATAAATAGTTTATTATAAATTACCGTTGGTTTTTTCATAATTTGTTTAGCGTTCGTCATTTGTGAACATTTAGTCAGATCGAATTGACCTGATCAAAGTCCATGTTATTTTGCATTTTTTTATAAAATAAATACAACGTTTGTAATAATTTTATCTTAGAAAATTTGCTTAAATAGAATTAAAAATTAATTATATTTCTAAATCTAATTCATTTTGCATATATAGTCTACTCTCTGCAGCCAAGAATTTTTTTTCGACGCTAATCTATGTTCGGAATAACTAATAAAAATATTACTTTACATGGGTGGACGGTGCGGGAAAGCGTTTACTAAATGGGACGAACTAAATTAAAAAACGCACCACATAGAAAAAATTAAGTAATTACTTGGTGGGGTACAACTAGGGTTCATGTTAAGTACAAAGGGGATCAATTTTTACAAAGTCTACCTATATACATATATATATATATTATATTACAAATAATTATTTATCGATTTGTAATGATTAGGGCTCGGAACTTAATGCATTTAAAAAGTACTAAATATGCATGCACTTAAGCGCTTAAAAAAGTACAAATATACTCTAAAAATATGCACTTATATTTTATTTTTGTACATAAAATTTTCATTTGTACAAATATTTTATAAAATTATAAATATAGAAAAAGTAAAGCAATAAAAATAATTCTGATTTTTAATTATTGTTCGTAATTTAAAAAAAAAAAAATAATATTAATAAAACAGCATTAAAAATATTGAATAAAAAAAATGCACTTGTAGAATGTTCAATAATCATTGAGTTATTTTCCTAGAAAAGTATTTATAGAAAATCATCGTATTTCGATAGCAGCTATTTGATATTTGTATAATATTTTATTTTAGATAAAGCTATAGTTATAATTTAAATATAACATATATATATATATATATATATATATATATATATTATATTATATTAACCAATAGGGAAAAAACATTGTTTTTAATATGAAATAGAAATTTGAAAATACAATACAAGAATATCAAGAAAGTTCTCTCAATATAAATGTATTTACTTTTTTATTTTTCGAATTTTCATATTGAATTTTCAAAAATTATAAAATATGCTTTAAAAAATTGTAAAATCAAGAAATATGCTCTAAAATCTAAAAATCACTAAATATGCAAAAATATGCACTATAAACTTTTGATATGTTTTTCGTAGTGTCTTGGAATAAATTTCAAGCTCACCTAGCAATAAATCCAATTGTGTAAAAAAAGCATGCAAATGCAACAACTTCCGAGCCCTAATAATGATTCTTTATTTTCCAACCGGTTGCATACATATAAGTGGGAAACTGCTAGTTTTTTAAAGCAATATGATAAAAAATTTAATTCACTTTTTTTTAAATTATTAATTATGCACGGTATAGTAGAAAATAATATTATTATCGTCTAATTAACATTATATTCTTTATGTTAATTTTTTTTTTCTTTTATACCATTGTAATAATAACCCTTTTTATATTTGTATAATAATGAACTTTACTATAAAATAAACATGATGTAATTTATACACTGTATTTTAATTTCATTAATTACAACAATTATAATTTTATCGCGTAGATGGTCCTGTTTTATTCATAGTCATGATGCTAATCAGTGTAACAAAACGATTATTAAATTATGAAATATTTTCATGATAATAGTAGTCACCAGTGGAATTGAAGGTATATAATGTGTATTCAGATAAAATATGTGGTTCATAGAACTAGGTGAGATGATAAGGAAATCAAAATCCATGTAGATTTTTAGCAATTTTGATTTGGCGGATTTAGGCTAAGAGTTTCTCGTACCAAGCATTCGAGAAACTTGCACGCGATTGTTAGTGAATTTGGAAAAAATAAGCATTTCCGCAGATATTTTTAGGGATGAGGATGTAAGATTAAGTTAGGTTTATGTGTAAAATATTTAAATTACAAATTAAACTGTTCAACTACCATTTCATATTGTGATACCACAAAAAAAAGTATTATACAATCGACTATCGAGAAATCGTAGTAATAAGGTTATTTATGTTTTAAGTTGATCAGAACGTTACAAAACTTTCCATATCGTCATGTAATTATTGTTATCTATTATATCGCGAATAATATTCATATTTCATATCAATCAGCCGTTTCGCGTGTTCAAGATAAACCATTTTTTTCCTATGTAGAATTTGTAAAAATTTCGGGGTGGAGGTTACAATCCTCAAACCACACCACTAGTTGCGCCACTGACTGGTTCAATGAATTTACGTTAAATTTTTTGGAGTTATACCAAAATGAATCTGTTATACGGAATCCTATGTATTTGTACCACAAAACCAGAAAACAAATGCATGGGTTCGATTAAGTGGACAACTGAAATGTTCAGTAACCGAATTAACAAATTAAAAATAAAATAGACTCACTCATGGCTAAATTTAGGGATTATTTGCGTAAAAAAAAGCTTCGATCAGATAAGGATATAGGATACGATATATATACGTAATTATAATACGCAAATGCACAATATGCTGTAGCAGCAGCAACCTCAACAGCATCCATTTTAATTCAAAAGTTAAAACTGGATCACTGAACACAAAAATGCTAGTGACTAGCCGAAGCCGAAACCCGAAGTTGAGAAGCTAGAATGTACTGCATGCACTTGTGCTTCCCCGCCTGACCTAAATTCTTGTCGAGAGTCTCTACTACCGGAATTACGATTTTCTCGAAAGGCACTGTTTCTCGAACATTTGGTAAGAGAAATTCTCCCCATCTAAATTCGCCTTTAGAGTAGGTACGAATAGTAATAGGAGACTTGTGTAGCTATATTAAAAGCTACAGACTGTGGTAATAGGAGACTTGTGACTATACAAATTATAAGAACAAAAATAGCCACAAAATGTATATAGTAACAAGTCTCCTATTACTACAATCTGTTGTTTTTAATAAAGCTACACAAGTATCTTATTTCTACACCGTGTGCATATGTATCATTTCTTTTTGAACAACCGTTAAAGGAAATAAGTAGTGAATGTTACGCGAAAACCAAAATCGGTGAATGATATTTTGTTATTCGGATTTTCGAAAAACAGAAAACCTCGTTGTTCTTGGTTAGGTAAATTATTTTCTTTAAGTATTTCCTTTATTAGAATATGTACGTTATAAAACTTGTAAAAATATTATTTTCAATAATGCATTTTATTGTATTAATATTCGTGCAGTGGGTATTGGTATTGATGGGGTGAGAAAGGTGAATCGTGTACTATAACAATGCATGTATAATATATGATATACTCGTATTATTACAATAGCGCGCAAGTGACATTTAAATAACAGACGGGTAAACTTTGGGTAGGTTTATCATCCGACGCGTTTTCGTTCAAAACGATCGCACTGAATGCCACCGAATCACCGATTAACTGCACAACGTTTGTCACGTTTTTTTTAGGGTTCTCCTTTACAGGCATATGTCGGGAAATGGATTGAAGGCACCCGCGAGTCTCTTTAAAACTTTTCAGGATATCCCTCTGTCCCCGAACAAACTTGAATAGTAAACAATATATGACTACGGGAGTAAAAAAACATGGGCTATTTTACACATAACGTTTTCAGATTTGAATAGAAACAAAGTAAAGGTATTCGAAACGTAATTTTTCCAAGTGGTTGTGTTCAAGTCGACTAAAACGCCCCTAAACCGTAGTCCACGATACCAACACACGAAACGAAAAAACGTGTACGCCTATAAGAGTGACAAACCATAACTGGCATCAATGTTGTATTGATTTTTTCAGTTATTTTACAGTTTCGTCGAAAAACTACCATTCGTGTCTAAAACTTCAAAGTGTTGTTTTTGGGTCAAAAAAAAAAAAAAAAAAAATTCAAAGAAAAGAAGTCTGGCGGCTGCGAGCGACAGTTGGACGACGCGGGGTCTTTTAAAAGTTCACGCCGGCACCGGCCAGTCGCTGCTGCCACCACTATCGCTGTCGCTGTCACCGCCACCGCGCCGCTGACGGGAGAAACGTCCACGGTATCGATTAACGTTTTCACCGTTGCCGTTACGCAACCGGGCACCCTGGCCCGTGGCGGAGAGGGAACGGGGGGGGCAGGGGAGGGGGTGGCGCGCGGCCGGTGCCGGACGAGAGCGCGAACAGCGCGCGCGCGCTACAAGTGTGTCGCCCTCCCGTGCGTACGTACCCGTACCTATCCGGGCGCGACGGGACGTACAACTCGCAGCACACCGCGACGGTGCATCGCCGCCACCGCCGTCGTCGTCGCGAACAACCACCGCCGCAAGCGACCGCGCGCGCGCCGCTGCGGCGGAGGAGCGTACGCACACGGCCGCGCGGCGTCCCGGGACAGTGTTCGTAGCCCACACTCTGCTCGCACCGCATCTCACGGCATGACGTCCAGCGACGGCGGCGGCGGTCTGTCGTGCGGCCAGCGGCAGGACGATCGCGGCGGCCCGGATCTGCCGATAATAATGGCCACCGGTTGTCGCATGCCCAGGTCGCCGTCCCGTGACAAGGATATCGCGACGTGCATCCGGATGAACGCGGCCGTCACCGCACCGCAGCAGCAGCCGTTCGCCACCACCGCGGTCGTTCTCAACCGTGTGTCCGGTTCGTTCCCGGAAGCGTTTTTCAAAAGGTACGTAATCCAACCGCGTCCACACCAGAGCACACGCGCAGACCGGGCTTGCGTGCTCGTGTTGTGCGTCCTAAAAATGTATCTAGTGCGGACGGTATGTCGGCCAGCACGGACGACCGTTTGTGACGAACAGCGAACGCAAGCCGAATCCGACCGATTCTCGCGTTCGTTGCGCGACGTGATAATCACCTTATTTACCGTTCAATATATCACACAAGCTCTTGTTGTACGTGAAAAAGTCTATATTGAGCACACATGATCGGTCTGTGCGGGCTCTAGTGTGCACGCGGCTTTAAGCGTTATCGCGGCTTGCGCGCATCGTCCACCCGCGCGGCGACGGTGCACAGGACGACGTTTCTCGTTTTTCGCCAGCCACCCCTTTGCTCGTCCGCCTCTCTCCTCTCCCCCGGTCGAGGGTTCGAAACGGGCTCGAGTGACGTGGCGAAAACATTCGATTCGGTTCGCCATCGTCGCTCAGGCCCATCCGATTGCGATTCTCGCCCGTCTAAAATTTTTTTTTTTTTTTTACTTGGATCCCAACGCTCAACTTCGATCACCGCGGTTTCGTCGTTTATAATAATTTTGCGCGAATCGCAGCAAGCGAGATTATCCGTTCGATACCGGCATATAACAATTCCGTTTGCGCGTTGCTGTTCAATAACCTTATTTGTAATTTTCTTAAGTAGAGTACAATTATAAGAGTTCAAGTATTAGTATAAGATTATATTAAGTATCAGAAACTTAAAACGGACGTGTGATACGAAACGTTATAATGTTAGGCAATTTTGGAAAGCCCAGGAGTTTAATAACATTTTTTTTCAATTTTAAGCATGAACTCAAATATTAAACTGTCATCAATATTATTATGGATGATTTATTATAAAATCTCAACGTGTCCAAATACACATGGATTACACGCGGAGCAATAAGTAATTGGTGGGAGTATAATAATCGATAACGTATGAGAAATAGTTCGAGAAAAAACCGCCCTTAGAGTTCTGACTTTGTAATTTTCCATATCAAAAGACCTTTTAAATAAATTAAATTATTTTTCGGAAATACCGAATTTCAATTACTAAAAATACATTGATGTTATAAATAGAAACAGTATTTTAACTGTAAAAACCACATTATTTTCTATGAACTATAGTTATTTAAAAAGTTATAATATTATTTAACAATAATACACAGAAATCGTAATTGTTAAACAAAAATGATATATACATCATTAATAATTTATTAATATTCTATCGTTATTACTTTATTTTTTTTTTTACCATCTGTTTTATACGTATATCCTTATTAGTTAATATAAATAGAAATGAAGATAATAACAACAATTCTCTAAAGTTTATTAATTTCTAAAAAATATATATTTATAAATATACAAGTTAGTCGACGTTGACGTATTAGTTACAAAAGCGACATTTTATGTATCGTTTTCATAATAAACTAAACACATTGTCAAATATTTTGGATGTTTTATCTAATCTTTCTTTAATGATGACTACATTATTTTAAATATTTATACATTGGTCTTATATTTAGTACAAAGAAAGTAAATCACCATTTGTATACATTAAATAAATTTACTTTTTGAATGGAATTGTATGGATTTAATACAGTTCATGATGATATACTTTTAAATTTATTTTTAGAAATTTACATTTTAAGAAGAACGAATAATGGTTTATAACATAAAAAATAACTCACACAAATACTCCGAAATTGTTTTTAAAAATATCAAATTGTAAATATATTTTAACATTAAATGAGAACGAATTACAAACATTTTGAATGCAGCAATATTTTATAATAAACAAAGGTCATAGGAAGTAAGGTTCTATGTAGACACAACAAAATTAACTGTATAATGGATTATAATAAGGGATTATTACAATTGACATAATCAACGCGTTTTCTATATAATTTATAATATTTTTATTAATTATAATGATTATCATTTTTTAGCGACCTAAAATACTCTAAGAGTTGGTTTATCGATTATAAAGTTGTTTGTTATCTGGTGAGTATTTAATTTAGTCTAGACAAAATGAAATGTACACAATATGAAATCGCATGTGCACATCATATTATATTATTGTTGTCAAATTAAAATCTTAATCTTAGCGTACAACTCAAATACAATTTTAATTTATTAATAATTAAATAAATTTAATTTACCTACATCACAATTTTTATATTTTATATACTTAATGAGTTTACAAACGGAAATTACAATAATATTATATATACTGTTGTATACTACAATGTCCACATGGACAATATGTTATCTGAAAAAAATTAAACGATCCTAAACCTGAGTCAAACAAAATATTTACCTGAATATTTCATAATATGAAGAATTCTATTCTGTATATATATATATATATATAAGTAGTACAATATCGTTTAGTATAATTTAAACGTTATTATCGAGGTACCTATAGATTTGAAATTATTACGCTTGTTTAAATTTAAATTATTGTGTTCACTGTTTAATAAAAATCCAAATTATATACTATTAAACTTTTAACATTCTTTATTTTTGTAGTAAAAAATATGTTTCTGATTCCTTCTATTTTATTATAACTTAACGTGTGTCCAAATATTGTATTACGAGTACATTATCAAGGTACTAAATATATTTTACGGACCGTTCATTAGTCTACTGTTAGATTTAATGGATTTTTCTGTTACACATACAAATTTAAATTGTTGTTGAAATCACTATTGTTTTTCAAGCTTCTACCAAACAGTTCATGCATTACCGTCTACACCTGTATACTCGTATATCATGTACCTGTATGATGTAGGAACACATTTTATAATTAAAAGCTGGATAAATAACTGCAATAGAAAAAGCCTTGTTTTCCATTGTTAAATTTTATAGTTCATTATAAATTATATATTATACAGGTTAACAATTATTAGTTATTGAATACATATATACCATTGATTTTATAATATTATACATACGCGATTATATTGAATTAGTAGCGCCCACTTGGATGCAACGACTAGACATCGTCAAAGGTCATCGTTTGCGTTTAATTTGATAAAAATAGGGTTTTCGCTGTAGAAAAAAATAGCTGTCTATAGTTGAAAACCTTTTTTTATATAAAGTTGAATACAAACGATTGCAACAACGTGTATAACTGTGTCCACATAGACCAATTTCAAAAAACTGATGGCGTATCCGTTTTTAATAAAACCACAAAATAGTCGATGCATACAATAACTGTAGGTCGAAAAACGATTATCATTTCTCTCTCTCACTCTTGCGCACACATATACGCGTACACATATTCTATGATAACTGTTTGTTTGCGTACCCTATTGAAAATTTCAATGCGTAACGGTGTAATGTGTGTTCGGAACAGAATGTCTCAGGACATCACGAACTCGGCGTGGTTCGAGGAGGAGAACGATTTGATCAAGAGTTGCGGTGCACTGCAGTCCGCGCTCGGGCTGTCCAAGAGCTTCAGCACCAGTGACATAGCGGACGTTACAAACTTGGACTCGGACAACGAGGACATCCGCTTGCCGCACAGCGCGTCCGAGCTGGCCATCAACAAGTTGCGCATCAACTCGGACGTGCTGCTGATGGCCACGACCATGCAGGGCAGATTAGGCAACACGTCGCGGTCGTTGTCCACGTGCGTGGTGGTTGGCGACATGGCGTCCACGTCGCAGCTTCCGTCGCCCAACCGGTACTCCAGTTCACAGCAGAATAGCAGCGGCGGCCCATCCTCGTTCAATCCGACCGATCTCGTGAGATCCGTCAACAAAAAGGTATGCTCGCCACTCTCGACGTACAAAGCCAGACGAGCAGATGGCTGCACCAATTGTTGGCCGTTATGCATGTTGAAATAAAATACTTATATTAACTCGATGTTATCGTGCATATCAGAGGTATTCAATCAGTTATAAAGGTTGCAAATAATTTTCAATAACGTAGAAAAACCTAAATATTTTCATTTAATTTGATATTCAAAGCAATACAAAAGGAATCACTAAATTAAAACTTTATATTGTTTACGATCAAAAATCCAAAATAGATAATGTTTTTGGAATACTATATAATTTTTTATTTTAAACTTAACTGCTTATAACTTCTAATCTCTCGCGAGAAAAACCCTTTTTTCTTCTTCCTACGTATCACGCATTTTTTTTTTTTTGAGCCACACGAGAATCAATACTTGAAAATAAATACTGGTATACAAACGAGTAAATACTAACATATTTATGAAAAAACAATGTTGATAGTTTGTCCAAAATAGAGAGTGAGGAAATATTTCTTGTTAGGTTTTCATACATAGTGATATAAGTATATGAGTTTTCATTTTCTACCGCATTATAGCCGTCCGTATAAAGTGTATTTATATTATATTTAAAATATTAGAAATATGCCACTAAATCCAGAAATTATCAATATATGCATTTATATGCTCAAAAATGTCAAATATGCGAAAACATCCTAAAAAGAAATTGTCTATTTGTGATATAGACTTCATAAATCAAATTTATATCTCACTCCGATGTAATTCTTGTTGCACGAAAAAAAATATGACAAGTCATGAACATCCGAGTTCTACTCATAAATTATAAATCTAAAAAAGGTAGTTATAAGCGCTATAATATGCTCTTAAAAATATTCATATAAACGTTTAAATATGTACTAAAAATACAAAAATATGTGAAAAAAAATATATGATGTATAACATTTTTTTCCCTCTTATTATTAAAAAAAACATGTAATGTAAAAAAAACAATTTTCACTTATTATTAAAACCTATCATGTATAAAAAATTTCAAACTCTTATTATTAAAATACCGATGACATCGTTAAATGATACAAAATTTTAAAATTTAAAAACCTTAAAAATACGTCCACGAAAATTATACGCACGGAAATAAATCCCTAACTTCCCCTCCCCCTAGATCTGGTCCTGGGTTTGAGTATACAGAGCACAGATCAAGTAATTCATGTAACTGTAGCAAGAATAGTAATGTAGTGATTAGTGGCGACGCGATACGGGTTTTATTAAAGCAGCTGCTTCATGACTAAAATGGGGTGGATGTTGTGCGACAGAAAAGTTTAGTAGGTACATTATTTGCACATCTGACATAAAATATTACTCAATATTGTTTAGTTTGGACCCGTTAATTTTAATATTTATGTACCTACAAGTACATTGAATTGTAAATTGTGACTAGGGATGGGTACTCGACACACGTAACTGCTTCATTAGAAAATAAACTTCTGGTAGTGATTTGTTGATTTGTATCAAAAAAAAAAAAGTTGTAACACTATTGTTATTAAAAAAAAAAAAATAAATAAAAAATAAAAAATTTAGATTAAAACGCCTTGGGATAGAGTATCCATGTGATCACGGAGCATTGGATTTGCAACTATACTTGTAAAACGATACCGTCAGAAAGGTGTAGTTTACCTTAACAATAAATTATTATTGATACACCGTTAAAATGTCCACAGGTACGACAAAATTACATTCAACGACGTCTGTTGGTCACTTACAAGACATTGGAGCGTTTGTCGCTTAGTGAGTTCAATCTGAACAAGACTGGAGGCGGCGGTGGCATCGGCGGACAGGACCAGCAACCGTCGACCGGCACCGTGGGCTCGAGTAAATACCTGTGCGTGCCGAAATCCGGCAGGACCTTGTGTCCGGACGACATCGCCGTGTGCACGGACACTATAAGACGGTACCAGCCGAAAGCCTTCACTCGATACGACAGGAACATGTTCATAGTCAACTGGCTGGACAATATCGACCCGCAGAACACTGCCACGGAAGACTAAAAAAAAGCATCGTCGCGATATAAACATTTTACACGCGCAAAAACAAATATCCCTTACCCATCATAATAGTATTTACGAATAAGGTCTTATTCACCGTTCAATGCAAATTACGCGAACGTATACGTATGTGTATCGTGTGCAATTGGATTACTTTCATAAATTAAGTTAAAACCGTCGTAGCGCTAATTACATATAAACCTATTTACAACCACAATTTTTTTGTGTACTATACTGAATGCTTGAATTGAAGTGGGTGGAACATATTTTTGAATTTTATTAGAGTATCCCTATAAATCATTATTGTCGTTGGAACGAAAGGATCTGTTTTTTAATGATACATGTTTTTTAACATGAACATATCCCCATTTCGCATGAACATTGTCTTATGTAGATTTGTGTTCGATTAAAAATTGTAAATTCTAATTCAACCCGAGGATTTATTTGATCAATGTTTCTACGATAAGTTACAGTAATATTTTTTAATATTAATTTTACTAAATAGAAAAGTACGGGAAAATGGTAAACGGGGACCAAAGCTTTCCATCTGGTATGATATGATTTGAATGAATTTAGGGAATACTAAATTTTTTCTAGGCAGAGAGTCTCTCTTTTTTTTGTTAATTCAATTCGAGTAGGTACTATTTGCTATTCTATATGATTAATATAATTGATTTATTATATTATAAAATCGCTAATACTAAAAATAATCAATTCTATAATTTACAAAGAATACATTAGATTATATGTTGTGTGTCTGTGGTTTTCATTATGATGTTAATTGTTTTCTCTTTTTCAAATTATTTTTATGTAAGTTTTAATTTTACCAAAATTCATAGATAAATAAACTAGGTATTTAATTCAAGTATTTTAGTCATGCAACAACATTTTACACTACGTGTCAAAAAATTATGAATTTATAAATGTTAGATTAGTATTATAAGGCATAATTAATTTGGGCGAATGACCCAAAATTTACCTGAGTAAAGCATACATCATTTGGGTAAGAATTAATTAATCGTTTAGGATAATTTATTAACGAATCATTGAATAATAGGGAATTAACATACCTACCCGTTCATCAAATTTTATAATATTTACTACAGTTACATATTGTTTCAGTCAATAGGTGATAACCAATTTAGTCACGAACTATGATATACATGACAGGACACAATATGCGTAGAGGATTATTTAACTTTTTGTTTGTTCATCTTTAAAGTGCTCAAAACCAATTTAAAAATATAAATAGTGAACGATAATTTAACTATATATAAAGTTAATTAAAAATCCCTAGGCTCTAAAATAGGAAGGAAAACGTATTAACCCATATAAATTTTATAAATTAAAATACATTAAAGCTCACCCAAACGATTTATTAGACATATTAGGAGGCTGTAAAATTCGCCTAAATGGTATAGATCCAAAATTCATTCACACCAAATGAAAGCCGTCCATATTATTGCCATTATTGTTTCCAGAGTAAAACATATGACTTTTTTTAGAGAAAAACAAAAATAAATACGTTATCATTAACATTGCTAGCCAGATTTAACTTAAATATCTATATTCAAACTATATCCTTGAAATTTTTTTTCTGAATTTGGTCCCGAATAATATCAATACTATTTAGAATTAGACGAAAACAATTCAAATGTAGTAAACACAATAAATTAAACATTTATGACATTTCTCTCGTACTCTCATAATACAATATTTTATAAAATTAAGTATGATATACTTAAACATTTGAAATGCAAATTATAATTTCAAACAATGTATTAATAGAGCTGTCTTTTAACTTCTAGAATTGTTTAAGAGTATTATGTTCGGTAAAAAATAAATTAAGACTGGGGAAATTCGTTATCATACTAAGCGCATGTTTTATTAAGTGCAACACAAAAAAGTAATTAATTTAACATACAATTGGTATTTTTTAAATTTAATTTATTAAGAATAAGACTCAAAGTATATAATATACAATTTTTTCACTATTTTAATGTTTTAGAGAAGCTCATAATATTATTAATAATAATTCTTATATACAAAAAATGTATAATGTAAACACTTAATACACACAATTTTGCTATTTAAGCTTAATAATAATTATTGGAAATGTGTAATACATTTCAATACGTGTTTCGAAATATTCATACCTATATGAAAGACACAGATCGATTTTAAATATGCATTTTATATATTAAAATTATAATAGTATTTTTTATGCTTTTAAAGATTATTGTACGTGTATTAAGGTGTACCTGTTTCACGAGCATAACATTTTTTTACCATTATAATAAATAAACGACTTCAATTTTTATAATTTATCAGAATAATTTAAAAATTGATAAAATATTAATATTCTACTTGCCTTAAATTGGGAAAAAAAAAGAATTTTGAACTATACCCTACTATTTTAAGTCTATATATATAATGCGGCCTTAAATTTTGTTACCACTTCAAATTTTATTTTCAAATTAATAATTTAAAAAAATACTCAATACAACTATCTTATTAAATTATTTAATCTTACATCATATTTAAGCTTAAGTTTTCTTATAAAATACTATTTTTTTATGTCATAAATAATAATAATAATAATAATTTAATAATAAAATTAATAACGGGGAATACAATTAAAACAGTTATATATCAACTTTGAACAATCTATGGAAGTTAAGGACAGTTTGTCCATAACTTTTGGTGTGCCAAGCTATAAAATTTCTTATCGCCTATTGTTTATGTAATTTACTTATGATGTAAAATTAAAAATATTAATTATTCTTTTATAGACATCGAAAGCAACATATAAATAATCGTCATTATTTAAAGGGACCACTTATCTCTAAAATATTTTGTTGACTTGAAAATATATAATTAATTTGATACACCAATCAATTGATCAACATTATATCTATTAAAAATAATGCGGCATTTTTTAAATTCCGTCCAAATTCTTTGAATACAATTTACAATGTTTTTCATAATTTACAAAACCAATGCATTTAGAACATGGAAAAGAAGTATTAACAATATTGTGAACGAACACGGATAATATTAAAACTTAATAGTAAATGATTATATTTAATTATTGTAACAGTACATAAATTTAACTAATTGCTTATTCATTGGTTTATATATGTTGACTAACATTAAACGTATCAGTGTAGAACAGGTAAAAAAGCTTTTTGTCAAATTAAGAATACTATATTCAATATTTTGTATATTCTAAAATATTTACAATATTGAGTTTTTACAATTTTGTTTGTGTAAAGTATATAGTATTTTCTAAATTGTGTAAACGTTGATTATGTATGTTATAATTCTAGTAAACATTATCAATATTTAGGTTAATGAGTTTTAAAATAAATTTTATTTCAAAATATAACCTACTTTATAATGTTACAATAAACCTAATCCTATACAATAAATATTGTTCAATAGTAAAATAATTGTAATTGGGCGTTTTATTATAATCCTCATATTTTACACCAAGTATAGTTACTGTTAAAATATATTATTTCTCATTATATAAGAATTAAGTATGTAATTAAGTATACAAATATACTAAATATATATTTTATTATATATTAATATAATTATCTTATTATAAATATATAAACTATGTTTTATACTTACTTACATACTTAATATATATAGAGAATACTATATGAATCAAAATTTTATATTAATTCAACAGTACGTGTAGGTAGGTATACTAAAATATGCATCCTAAAAATTGAAAGTAACTATCTGTACACATAAATATGTGTGTATGTATAAATTGTGTAATTTATGCAAACATTATGTCAAAGTATAATTTATTTGCTCTAGTCAAAATGTGAAAATACCCTTTTTAGAAGCAAATATCTCTGTTTCAATCTCAAAATGTTAATGTAAGCTAAATTTTATTATTTATATAGAAATACTCTATATCTGTTATAGTAAATGAAAAATGTAGGTATTTATTTGTATACATAGTACACTCCTATCGTAATATATATCTGCAATTATTGAATTATTGACTCAGTTTTTAAATAAAATTTTAGTACATATAAGCATTGTAAATACCAATGAGAACAATTTACTTGCAGGAGAAATTTAGTAGACAGCGGATGTTTAAATTTAAATGATTACAGGAAGGTTGTACAAATTTTTGTTTATCGCTTTATTATCAGGAAGTGGTTTTGAATATATCATTTCAAAGACTGCTCGTTTTATTGATTTTTTTCTTTTTCCAATAATATATTGTATGCATAATACATAGATTTGTATTACATAATTTATCAAATATGTTACATAATATTATAAAGAATTAGAACAGACAGGATATTATACGGAGGCTTTTTGAGCATTCGTTTCGCTTCGATTACGTTTGTGTAATGATCCAGTGTCGTACATAAATTTGAAAGCAATAATATATCAATCATAACGACCGAAAAAGTGATTGGTTGTTTTATGGTATAATTGTTTAAAAACTAAAATTTCTCTCTGGGATAAATTTTTAATAATTATTCCGATTATATTAAATCTTTGCACTAAACAATATAAAACAATATTATGTTTTGCAATTTTAGCACTATATATTATGCTATTGTGTAAAACTTTATGATTAATAAAAATAAAATGTGTATTATCGTAACAAATATACTAAGACTCTAGTAAGTGTTCCGTTCCGAATAAAAAATATCTTTTGGGGAAAATGTGTGACATAGGTTCGAAAGCTGGGTGGTTTAAAGGGTTCAACCCCCGTTAAATATCAGAAAAAGTGTTATAAAAAAAATGATTTAATCTACATATTTTATAATTATTTCAAAGTTTCTCGTGAGCCACATAGAAATAATATATATATATATATATTATATAAAAATTAAAATTAAAATTAAATTAAATAATGAGTAATAAAGCATGCTATTTATCAACATTTTTTGTAATACATTTTTTCAAAACCTCACTCGCAATTTTTTCCTGCGTTCGGCCCTGTCGTGATATAATATAACGTGACCAACTAGTAAGATGTACACATACTCGTATATTTACACAGGGCTCAGAGTTAAAATGTTATTAATCAAACTTAATTAAATTAAATATCAAACATTTATCTAGGTCAGAATATATGTCGTCATCAGACCGAACGAACATAAAAGTACATTTACTATTTACGTTTACACTGTTGTACATACATTCATGGTTTACGTTACTTTAAACAAGCATAGAAATTATATTTTTTCTTTAATACTATGCTTAAGACACTTGTATATTTTGTATTTTTATATTGCTTCAATTCGTATTGACTAAGCACTGAATACTACGAGCTTCGCACGTAGGTCATTAATTTATAAATTTTGGATATCTATTTGAAATTGTAAATACAGCCGTATGCATAATATACACATAGTCATAAAAATTAATATTTGACTAAAATAATGATTGTGGCAATTCCATACTAAACGCGAATTACCTGCGCGTGCATTTTACGTTTACGTAAACCTTGAACGAGCACATTTAAAGAATAAAAAAATGAAACAAAAAAAAGTACACACATACGTTTAGGTGAAAAAAAATTGTAAACAATAATGATGGGTGTGCACACCAAACGCGCCGACCGAACGTTTTTGGTTAACAATGCTGGTTTGGGATAGGGAAATAAATGCTATTAATGTATTGGGTACGCTGCATCATTGTTCAACTAATATTCTGTGCGAGTTGTATCAGAGTTTTAATTAGTGGTTGGAAAAATGGGTGGATTCCAAGGGCGCAGCAAAGAAAAGGAGCGCATTTGAGTTAAATTAAAATTGTGGTTTTTTGTAAAGAATAAGCACCAAAATAAAATTCGCCAAGAGCGCCACGTAGGGCACCTAGTAATGGCACTAAGTTAGAGTTCATTTACATGCATTAATCCAATATTTTACTACACGCATAATATTGTGCGTACAACACACAAGTAATGCAAATAGTAATAGAAATATAATAATAATCACAACCATGTTCGTCAACGTTTTTAATTCTGCCATATCAACTGGTGATCATCTCCGTAGAATAAAGATAGGTATCATGCCAAGGTTTGACGAACAAAAATGACTCGGATTGGGCAAGTTTAGGCAACACAAGGGCGTGAAGTCATGGTGAATGATGAAAAATGTAATCCTTTTTACTTTCGAAGTCAATACAAAGACTAATATTTACTAAAAACGATTGATTAGTCATAACTTTTTCTGCACGTCTGACATAATATCTAGTAATATATGTTTCTAGCGGGGAGCCACGCGAGCGTGGCGTTAGTCGCGGCCAAAGGATACACTTCTGTGCGTGAATGTTCTATTACGCTTCGTTGGCGAGTAATAATATTGTTAATGTTGTAAAATGTACACATTTTTATTAGATTTCGGACGAAACAAGAAATGTCCGATTGGATGATTTTTATTTTACTCTGCTCGTATGTAATATTTGCGGTAACGTTAGAAACATCTCGGTTATCTTCCGGTATAATACACCCTAATAATAATTTGCCGACGTAAGTGTAAAATACGTTTTTGCCAACCGAGCTCGGAACGGTTTTCCGAACGGAAGTGAATGTTATTGAATTAATCGAAAACCGTTTCGAATAGACGCGTGTAAACGATACATGAAACAAGAGAAGGGAAAACTAATCCAGCCACTTTTTGTCGTCGACGGCGGCGGCGGTATACCGTGGAATAACGGGACCGACACGCGTGGAACGTAAAATACGCATGACGGCCCCGTTCGAGGCTTATCATAAATGATTATGATAAGTAATTATCACGCAGTATTCCGTGGCCAACAGCGGCGACAATATCACGTTGGACGCCGCGGGCCCCCCAACCCGTTGCCGAATATCGATAAAAGCCCAAGCCGCTGATGGCGCTGCGCTGGCAACCACCCGGCTTGCTGCCGGTGGCCGATTTACGGTGACGGCGACGTACCCCGATCGTCGGGGCGAAAGAAGAAAAAAAAGGGAAAGGGATTTCAGTCGTCGGCGACATCGGCGCGTTATCAGTTTATCACCCGTCGGGCACTGCGCTTTATCAGTCCGGTCCCCACTCCGTCGTCTACGTCAGCTCGCGCGCTACGTTTGCACGAAACGAGTCGCCTGGCCCACAAGTCTGTGCGGCGTCAGCACGTAGGCCAAGCGGTTCTCTTCAGCACAGCGAGAACGGGACAAGCAGCAGCAGTAGCAGCAGTTCGCGGACCGCCACGTTTCGCGCGCGTCCATTTCGTTTGTTCGTCAGCGCCGGAAACACCGTTTCCCGCGTCGTCGACGTTCGGAACGCGAAACGTGTCCGAGACACCGCTCGTTATTTAGGCCACCGCCGACGTAGCCGCACAACATGACCGGTAAGCCTTGTGTTCCATTTCGATGTACTTTGGTAATTATCCCTCTACCAATCCCTGGCGCGCTTATGTGCTTTTTCGACGCCCAGTGTTCTCCATATGTTTTGGCCCGCTTCGGAAAATCCGTAAATTCGCCACCTTACCGTCGCAATATGGTGACACGGTTTTTCATCTCTGGTCAGAATACCTCACATAGGTACATGTCTTTCCAAGTGTTTTCCGATTTAGTTTAGGTGTATCATTCGTGACCTAAATCGGTGCGTTCAACTGACCATCATATTGTAAAAAAATCTTTATTTTATACCTCTTTCCATAATCAAGCACACATTAATACTCTCTGTTCACGAACCCACTCACTTTCTTGATCATAGGAAAGATATGTGTATCACACGAGCATATGTTTTTGAGTTCCACAACTTGATATAAATAATATTACATCAGATGAACTTTTAAGTAATCATATATGTTATGATTAAAATAAACTAAGTAGATGTTAATTCAATCAAAAGGTCAACACATATGAATGATAATATTATTAAGGATATATTATATGAAGGATATACCTAATTTGTGCTTTAAATTGGATGTGTCCATTATATTTAATCAATTTTTTTTTAAACAAATTCTTTACAAACACCTGAATACTAAAATCAAGAAAATCTATTTTATAAATCAACTTTATACATTTAATTTATTATTTTTTATGAGTTGATTTTGTACCATAGTCAATCAATTTAGTATGAATTTATTTTATGAATCAGTTTGATTTTTAAATCCTCATACTGCTTGAATAAAATCTGATGAAAGATATACTGCATTCATTTTATAATTTATTAATGAAGATAAACATTTTGCATTTATAAAATATTTATTAATTTTTGGTGCTTTTTCAATTTAGTACCTGTTTTCAATTTTTTTTTCTAATGTAAAGAACTGTTCAATTTTATAGTTTCTAAAATATGTTAATTATGAGATTAATTGTTTCTTTAGATAATTTTGAATGATTTTTTAATGATACAGATTATTATTGTTAATTATAATGCAATTTTATTGCTTTTTTGATAATGATTATCTAAAGACATAGTTTACATATTGAGCTGTATATTTTTTCTAAGTACATAACCTATTAATATGAAACTTATAATTTATTAAATTATGTTTCAAAACAATGAATGACTTGTTTATTATTTGTATACAAAATATGACCATGAATAAGAAAAATTATAATAAAAAATAAAATATTAACATCGTGTTTTAACAATAAAATAATTAATAATATAATTGTTTTTTTTAAACAAGCATTTTTATATTTAAAATATGTATCTATTTGTGGCTAAAATATTAGCATTATGTACATATTTGTAATAGTGGCCAAGATTAGTGAAAAATATTTATATTTATAATAAACATTGAAATAAATATGTGATAAGTTCTATTGACTATTAAGAAAAATATTTTCAGATATTTTAATAAATTCTAATTTTAATATTCAAAAATGTTGTGTGATTTGATATTAATAAATTATTATATATTAATATCAATAAAAAAAAAAAAATAAAAAAATTATAAATATCTTAATGCTATCTTAATAATTTTAGTAGTTAATTTGATGGGTTTTAAAGTCAATAGTCAATTTATATTTTTGAGGTTTATTTATTTAATAATTTATCATTTAATATTAAATTACTAGCTATAAAATATTTATTTACCTTATGCTATATGTCATTTATGTTAAGATCTAGTTGTCTTTTTATTAATATTGTTGTACAACTCATTGTTAATTATTATTTTTTAGGCTCAAAAATGTTATCTTTTATCACTGTTGTGTTAGTAATTAACACACCTTCTATTTGGGCTTGGGACTCAGATCAAATGGAAGTTTTTGATCTTGTTGAAGAAATGAATAATATCAATTTCTATCAGTTTTTAGAAGTACCCGAAGTGAGTATTGTTATTTTAATTTAAAGTCAATTAAGTATTTTCAATATTTTCACAACAATAAGAATAACCATATTTAAATAACTCAATAATTGAAAATTATTTTAACTATTCCTTTCTTATGAATTTAATTTTTTAATTTTTTTTGAGGTTTTTGGGAATTTTGTGTATCTTGTATTGTATAAGTCACTTAAAAATATGACTGTTCTTTGATCACATTATGAGTGTTTTTATTGCGTATTTTATTATAATACAGTAGAAGCTGCTTATTAGGAATACTTTCAAACCAAGGTGAGGTGTCAATTAACCGATTGTTTCTAATAAGCGATTGGTTTTATTTATTATGAAAAAAATTATCTTCTATGAAAAAAAAAAAAAAAAAAAGTATAAGGTAAATAAAATATGTGTTTATCGTCTGTTGATCTGCGCTGAGTAACTTGATGATCATGGTTTCATAAGAATAATGTTGTCTAAAGCCTTTTTCATCCGCATGATGCAGGACTGCTCTCCTAAGGACATTTAAAACTTCTAAAATTTCTTTACTTCATGGGGATACTTTTTCCTTCTTTATCGTTAGTGATAGCATGTTAAAGTGTTTGAGGATTCATAATCGCATTACAAATCTCTTTTTCTGTTGGAACCTCTGCAACATCAAGGTATAAGTCCACATCGATCTAATCTTCGTACATTTCTTCCGAGGGTTTGACTAGTTTCGATCGTAGTGACATAAGATAAAGTACACTGTAATTAAATTATTGCCAAATAAACTTATTGTTTCAAATAATCGATGTATTGTTTCAATAATCTGATTGTATTAATTATCTATGTTTCTAATAAGTGGCTTCTACTGTATATAAGAACAAATTAAATACTTTTATTTGTTAAAAAATTATATTTTTAGTTATAGCTAAATAATGGTTAGGTTAGATTAGGTTATTAGCTCAATGCTTGTATTTATAATGTCATAAGGCAAAGATTTAATATAAAATGTTAAACATATATTGTTATTTATAAATATTTATGAACTTGCATGTACATTGTATTCAAATATTTTTATTTTAAATCTTAGGTACTGTATAATATAATATTTGTATAAATTATAACTTTATAATTTGATTTTCAGAATGCTAATTCATCAGCAATAAGACATGCTTTTAGAAGAATGTCATTGTTATTACATCCTGATAAAAATAGTGCTCCTGATGCTGAAGCAAGATTCAGAGAATTAGCATCAATTCATGATGTTTTACGTGATCCTGTAAAACGGGGACATTATGACAAAGTTTTAAGCGAAGGATTACCGAACTGGCATCATGCTGTTTATTATTATCGACGAGCTAGAAGGATGGGTTTCCTCGAAATGGTTGTTATTCTCTTTTCTATAATTAGTGTTGGTCAATATCTTGTTGCTTGGGGATCATATATAGAAAATAAATTCACTGTGGTAATTATAATTTTATTACAATTTAATGTACAAGATTAATGTTACTGTACAACCGCGTCCAGACTAAGAAACATTTGTCGAAAATATGTGTTATCAACAAAAATTAAAACTTCCTAAAATTTGTTACCGAAAATTGTGTCGGTGACATTGTTATCGTCAAATTTTTGTTTTCCATCAGGTAGGAAAAATTCGACAAAGTTTATAAACATTGTCGCTGACAATGAATTAACACGTCCAGACCGGTCAAATTCTGTCGATAAATATTTAGTAAATGTATCATATTTTATTAATTTGTTTTCTTTCAGTTTTGCCTCGTCCGCCTATACGTAGTGCAAATTTTTATTTTATTTTATTATTATTTTTACTCTTATATATTATATTATATAAAATTCTCCAGATAAACCAATGTCATCATGTTTAAGATCAGTCATTAAATCATTACCACTATATTTTTGCTATGTTTAACTAGGATGAACCCAATATCTTTTTTTGAAAGCATTTTTTTGCTCTAAACTAAAAATTACACAAACACATGCGGATATCGCCACGTCATTCTCGTTCCACATTTTGTCCAAGATTAAAATGTTTATCAAATATGTTGCTTTGGTGTGGACACGCTTGTTTATACATTTTTTCGGTGACATTTAAAGAAACATTTTGTCACTGACATTGGAGACAAAGTCGGCGACAAATGTTTTTTGGTCTGGACGTGGGTTAATATTCCTGCAGTTAAAATTTGTACTTCTTAACTAAGTAATTTTTTTTTCTACAGGATGAGTTAATAAGTTCAAAAATGAAAAAGCTACGAAAACAAAAGAAATATCGAGGTGAATCAACAATACCTCCTGAATTTGATGTGAACATTCCAAAACCAAGGTTAATTTTAAATACATTTATATATATATATATTTTGTTTTTCTTAAATATTTTAAAATCATTTTTCAGCTTAAAGAATACTCTTCCTTGTCAAATACCTTATTGGTTATGGTTGTTTATCTTAAAATCACCATCGCTAACAACATCAGCTATATCATTTTTGATTACCAAATTCAAAGAGCGAAAAAATAATCAGAAGTAAGTTTTTAATAATGTACTTAGCATTTAATTATATTTTAAAAATTTGGCAAGTTAATAAATGTTATAATAAAAAAATATTACAAAATTTATAAAACTATATGTTTTAAATTTAAATATAATTAATTTTTAAATAAGATTATAAAAAATATAAATCTACTTATTCTAAACCCATATTTTAAAAATGTAACACCACTGATATACCAACCGTACTATAGTATTTTAAAATCATAATATTATTTATTTAATATAATAAATTTAATTATGATTGATATATTTTTTTATTGTATAATAGTTTAATCTAAGAATAAAAATATATATATCTTAACTTTTTTTTATAGTAAATTGGAATATGAAAAACCAGAACCAATTATTCGTGAAAGAATTAGACGTCGTAAAGTACAATATAAGATACCAGAGATTAATGATTATGTTAGCACTAATGGGGATACTCGCGGAAAAATCAATACTGAAAAAATTGAAACTACTGTAGTTGCTGGTGGTTTGTGGACCGATGAAGATTTATATGAATTGTCGCAAATGGTAAATAAATTTCCTCCTGGTACATCAGATAGGTGGCAAAAAGTAGCAAAAGCAATGCATCGTCCAGTTCCTGAAGTTGCATTCATGGCCAATAAAATGAAACAAAACGGATATAAAGTTCCAAATCCAGAGGAAGTAGTTGAATCAGTTATCACAGAAGAACCAAAAAAGATTAAGACAAGAGCAACTGAGAATATTGAATCTATTAACCGTTCATGGACTCAAATACAACAAAAAGCGTTAGAAAGTGCTCTTATAAAATTTCCAAAAGGCTCCACTGAAAACCGTTGGGAGAAGATATCTAAATCTGTACCAAATAAAACTAAAGTAAATAAAAATTATTATTTTATATTTTATTAATGAACTTTGTATAAATATTATTTTATTTTTTAACAGGAAGAGTGTATGGCTAGATATAAAGAATTAAATGAACAATTTAAAAAGAAAAAAGATTCTATTGATGGCGTTTTAGAAAATGTTGATAATGACAATAACAAAAAATAAACTATTAATTTTTACATCCTTTGCTTTTATGTCCCTTGTTCTTCTGAAGTCTGATTTGGTTGTGATTATTTAAGTTCATTTTATAACTGAAAATATAAAATCGGCATGTGCTGGGCACTTGAAATGAAATGTCAATCTATGTAATACTATATAAAGTATTAACACTTAAATTGTTTCAAATTTCTGTTGATAATTCTAACACAATTTTTGATTCCAATTAAGACACAATTTATAAAAAAAAAATTTCTGTTTTAAATTCTATTTTATTAGGAAAATGATGTTATATTACCATTTTTAAATTAATATACCATGTAAATAATGTGCTATATTATTTAAATATTCTGTAAAAGTCTTTTAAAATGATTGGTATTTATTTTATTTGGCTTATTGTTGTTTTACTTTCTTGTCCTTTGTTATCCTATTATAAGTTAATTCCTTGTACGTTATTACATATAAGTAAAATATATTATTTTTTTTTATGTGTACATCAAGCTTTATTGATTATGATTTTTTTTTTTTTTTTAAATTAATGATATATTCTTATATTGATAAAATTGTATAACATTAAAAAAAAACTGCATTTAATTAACATGAGTGCTATATATAAACTTATTGTGTATGAATCACAATGTACCAAATTTAGTAACATTGTTAAATATTTAATGATTGTATTAAATGTAAGCATTCATCAAATAATAATCTGGGCAAGTAATACAATGGATTTAAATATTAATTATTTAATTAAATTACCTATTTATAAAATAGTTTTTCCACAACATTACTTATCGCTGTGATAAATAATTACAAATAACTTCCATTCATAAATTATCTAATAAATTAGAATTAAAAATCTTTCCTCATAATGTTTTATGATTAATTATAATAACTACTATTTGTATTAATTTTTAAATAGGTATCTGTTTTTCGTCATTTAAGACTGTTTTATTCCTTACATTAAAAGTCCTGCAACTTTATTGAGTCTATTTTTCTAGTTATAATAAAATATTAACTTTTCAATAGTAATTATGGGTTGTTAGTCATAACTTATTACCTTTTTGTAAATGAGGGTAAAATTATATTTGTAAGTATTAACTGTTAAAGTGCTTTTAAAATATTTGCGTTTGAAAATTCTAAAACATTTTTGTTTGATATATAAATATATGTTCATCATTATAATACATTTATATTAAAAATTATTTTAATTTTAATTAATACAGAAGTAGTTATTTATTATAATTTATTAGTTACCTATGCCCCTATTGAGTTTTGGTAATTAATCATATATTAACTATAGTTCTACAATTAAAGATAATATCTACATAAAATTACTTTTAAATTAGATATTGCATTTTAGGCACCCATTTAATAATTTATATATTCAGAAAATAGGAAAAGGGAAATAAAAGAAAGAATATTGAATAGAAATAGATGTTACTTTAGCATAAACAAACTTTTGAGATCAAAACTGCTATCTAGGAAGTCAAAAACTACACTGTACACAAGCTATTTTGAGCTAATAGTAACCTACGGATGTGAGACTTGGTCCACGACAAAAGATGATAGTAGAAAGCTTGCTATATGGGAAAGGAAAATATTAAGAAATATATACGGACCGGTATACAACAACAACCTGAGAATTTATGAAAAGAGGAACAATGAAAAGCTGTATGAAAAACCAAATATACTCACATATATAAGGTGTAAAAGTCTAGAGTGACTGGGACATATATGGAGAGCTGATGGAGATGTATTAAAAAATGTTCTGATAAGAAAAATAAAGAAAAAACGCCCACTTGGAAGACCAAGAACAAGATGGAAAGACACCGTAGAAGAGGATATGAGACTAATAGATGAGCATGCAACGTTAGACTGGACTTTGGACAGAGAAAATTGGAAAGGCTTACTAGTGGCAACGAAGGTTCTTAATGGACCGTTAAGCTGTAGAAGAAGAAGAAGATATATTCAGAAAATATTGACATTCAATAAAATATTGTTCAAATAAATAATAAAGGGTTTTCAAACAATGAGATTAACTTTAGACATGATAATTAATTCTTATGATTTTATCGGTGCATACTAGTTGCCTCACATTCTTATCATAAATAAAAAGGTTAATATACACTAGTTGCCTCCAATGACCAGACAATCCATAATTAGGGTTGCGCAAAGTATATCGATATTGGGTGTTCGATCGATATATCGAAAATATTCCATCGATATTTTAGTATTGATTTCCATTTAATAATGGAAGGTAAAAAAGGACGGGTTAAAAATTAAAAAAAAAAAGAAAATTGCAACCAACATTGCAAAATATAAATACAAAAAAAAATAATATTGGAAAAATTAAATTACGGTAAGTTTACCTATCAAAATTAAATATTAATATCTATGGTATATCAAAAAAGTCGTTAATAGTATACGCGATTATTACGATAAGAATATTGGACTATACCATTATTAAATGCTCCACCTACAAAAAAAAAAATATCACTCGATTTGTTGTGAAAAATCACGTCGGGTTGCTAACAGATAAAAGTACTACATTATAATAAAAGTGGATGATACCTATTAACTCGCACGTTAAATAAATATTGATATTTTTTGTCCTATAAAATATGGTTCATCGATATTTTAAACATTAATGTATTCAGGTTTTTGCCCATCCTTATTCATAATAACATATGAGTTGCCTCTCGTGTAGAATTTAGTATTAGTTCATAAACTTAATGATAATAAAACATATCCATACAATTATAATACATCCGTAGTTGTAACATCTATTTTATGCAGTCTTAATTCTGCGTGTAATAACTTTGAAGGCCTTTCACGTAATAATGTTTCGGTGATTTTTTTTCTTTTAAAAGAGTTCTTATTTCGTGTAAATTAAGTCTTTGTTCAGATAATGGTACATGATTATTATGGTTCAACTTGCTTTCGTTCAATAATACTTTGTTATTTTCATATACTTTTGAAAAATCTTTACATATTTTTGTTGTACAGTTCCGCCTTTCTTTGTTGAAGGCTAACTTCTTTTGAAAACTAAATTTAAAACCTTTAATTATTTTAACACATTGGTTCTTTTGACTATATATGTTTCGCACTTAACTTTGATTCACTCTAAAAACTAATTAAACATTTTTTAATTGGTTAATAATTTGTAAAAATAAAACCGTACAACAAAAACGAGTGTTGAAAATCAACTAAAAGATAATTATTTACGATAGCATATGGTATAGTCTGGTTCAGGATTGGTTTGGATTATATTCTAACATTACACTAAATAGTATATTATGTACAGTTGTATAAGTAGTTATAATCATATAAAATACCTATCAAATATAACAAAAGTCATAAATTACGACTTCGAAATTACAAACTTATTTTGATACATGAAGTTTGAAAATGTTTGAAACCACTTTTACATTTATTATCTGTCTATTAGGAGACAACTAGTAATAGACGCTTTTTATTTACGATAAAATGTTGGCTATTTTTGGAGGAAATTCTTATAAAAATTATTGACTTTTTTGATTTCGGGAGGCAATTGGTATATGCCCGATTTTATTATACTTATCAAATTATTGTATGTACCTAATTAAAAACTAACAAAATTAAATTGTTGAGCGTTTCTAAACCATATCATAGATAAATTAGAAGAGCCAATAGTGTAAAGGAAAAGAAACAAATAATTATGATTCTATAATTATAGATGATAATTCCAATTAAATAATTATTTTTTATGTTTCAAAATTTCAATTAAAATAAAAATTAAGATAAGTGGTCAAGTAGTAATGTTTGGCAATGCGAGTGAGAACTGTCATAGGCAATTATTCATTTTGTTTATATGTGAACATAAATTACATAATTCATAAGAATAAAACGAAGACTGCTTGTATAGATATATCAATCATATATAATATATTTTGATTAGTTGTTGAATAATTAGTTATTTTACTTACCTCAGTCAAAAAAAAAAAATAAAAATATTCGAAGATTTGAAAGTCTTGGCTTTTATATACTTTTGAAGTTCAGACTCTGCTTCGTTTTATCATACATTGGGCGTTTACAATTTATCTTTTATGGTTCCGAAGAATCATATTTTCAATCAGTGATGTAGCCAATGGGCGCTAAGGGGGCTATATCTTCTCCCTTAATGGGTCGTGTTTAAGTGTATGGACTAAACTAGCGTACTACTATTTGGTATTAAGATATTTTAAGACTTTGGTATAAACTAAATGTTGACGAATAACGGATGTTTGTTAAAGCATTTCTTACCTAACCTACCCAAAAAAGTGTTTAGCCTTTCTCTTTTAAAAATCCTGGTTACGCTACTGTTTTTAACATAGACAAATTACATTTTTTTTATTCACAGATATGTTCTTATATGGCAACTGGTAAATCTTGGAGGAAGATATTATTATTTTTAATGCAACTAATCAAGAACAATTGTATTTTCTTATGAACATTAGCAATATCCAAGCTCACGTCATACAACTTGGGACTTACACCTTATTATTTATTTATTAGAGACATTTTGATAGACACGTAGAAACTAAGATGAAAGTACAGTTGGAAACTTTTGGGGTTACGTGTACAAATTACCGGTACAATAGGAAAACCTCTTTGCATTTTATAAGACATAATAGTGCGATCATTTATTAAAAATAAATTACTATCGGCAATTCTTAGTGAATGTGACGGACACTTTACACAAATTAACTACAGCTGGTATATTTCAAAAATACAATTACGTTCAACACACAGCGACTGCCGTAAATGTAGAGGAAATGCCGATGACATATCCCATCATTGTCGCAGACGTCCGACGATCGCGATTACGTGAAAATTATACAACCCACGCAATACAAACTTACAATAATTATAAATAATACATCTGTTTTATATGTTTTTCTTTAATATACGATCGTTGGTATCGAAAAATGATACTAAGCGATAAAGGACGAGTTATTCACATAAGACTAGTAAGAACCATAGGTATGCACATGAGGATGACGGGTAGGCCCAGTCATTCTCGAAATATTGTAAGAATAAACAGCATAAAAATTTTAATATTATGTAACACAAATACAGTATTGGTACAGTGACGGCTATTACAGTGGAGTCTCGTGGCTTGGACGACGGAACCCTCTACTATTATTTATGAAAAGAAGAAAATTAATTCTGATTGTAATAGTATACCTATTTATAATTTATTAAATAATTTAATACTTAAAATACTAAAATGGTGATTTTCAAATAATCAAAATAATAACATTATAAATGTTTTTGAGTGTGATCGTAGCGATAACCATATGCGTATCAACTTTTAACTGCTTAGAGCTGGGCGATAGCCACTGCCCGCCGCTTTCGGACGAAAATCGTTGTCGTCCAGGCTATTTAATTTAATATTGTATGTGTCATGTGCGAACGTGTGCGTGCGAATACGATTAAGCCGCGGTATACCGCAAACGTATGGACGACATACACCGCGTCGTCCAAACGTATAAATATCAAAGATAATTTTTTCCAAACCAATCTGAACAGTTTACCCGCGGATTACGGTTTCTGATTATGAGACAAGGAATTTTATTATTGTCGATTATGTGAGTGTCTTATTTAATCACGTGCGTTTTAAACTGCGACTGTAAGTTAGTATTCGGTCAATAATAAAATAATAATATTAAAAATAAATGGTACAGGAACAGACAGACACTTTTTCATATTGTCGTACTCCCTTCATCAGCACCCATGAGCTGCCTCTGCAATATTGTACTAAGAAAAATAAATTAGTTTCAATAAACCCGTAATATTTCTTGGTACATATCACATAATATCATATTAGATTTTTAGAATATGAACCGTGTAGATAAAGTGTTCAACTCACAATAATGACGAGCATTTATCATTCAAAGTATGACTCTCAATGTAGTTAAATTTCTAGTTTCAATTATTTTAATTGTTAACTAATACCGATTCGTATGAGTTGTTTAATTTAGATTAAAAACTTATGCGAAAAATAAATAAAACCCATGCAATTTATAGCACTTAAATATTCTATCAGTAATTCGGCAACATAAGGTTTAAAATATTTTGAATAGTTTATAGGTCTTTAAATAAAAATGAATTATGATGGGCTTGGTTTCAATGCGACATGGTACAATATACCAGTATTTTGTCAGGATTTACTTTTAAATGAAGTATTTAATTTTTTACTGTTATTTTATAGTAACATTTGCATATTAATTCATCATTATAATATAATTTATGGAATTACTTGGATTAGGTACCTACTTCACTAGTATTACCCATTTTACTGATTTACATTTTGTCCAATTTTACCGTCGAATTACTTAATACCTATTAAAAACGGTCAATATTTTGTATTTTCACATCATATATACCTTAATATTTTACACGGTTACCAGAAAGTTGTCACGCTACAACTTGACACATCCCTTTTGGTAAACTTTGACGACAGGCTTGTCAAGTGTGCTGTGTTCATAGGAATTATAAATAAGAAGATTGGAGAGGATGAATATAATATCACAGTGCTGTAAAATCACCGTTACATTAATGTTTACTGACAATTTAAAAAAATATCAATACACCGACTGTTCGACGTAAATTTAATTAAACATTTTTTTATGTTTGATTGAATCTGCATGGTCGGTTGATTAAATATGTGAAAAAATTAACCACGTGAATCCATCTATGTCACCTGAAATATTAACCCGCAAGGAAAATAACCCAGTAATGCTACTGTGTATGAATGCTTAGCGTTCTCCGAAAATCAAATTAATATTGTATTATATATAAGCACTGTTCAATTATTATTAGTTTGATTAATGTTAATTAACATTGTCATTTTCTTAATACGTATTTTACGAAGAAATATAATCAACGATTTACTGTGTGATACATATAAGCCGAAGGATTTTTCAACATTTATACAGAAATGTTCCTTTTTTTTTTGCTTATATATGCAGTAATATAGGTATATGCAATGATGAGATGTGTGATATAGATCTGAATAAAAAGTATAGCAATTTTTTAAATACTTATTAACTAGTCAAATTTAAAAAATATGTCTAAATATATATTTTATTTAATTTATTACATTTTGTAAACAATTTATACTACACAGGTTGTTTATGTAACTTTTCAATTATTCATCAATACTTACCCTGTAGCTCGCCGTTTTATAAACTTAATCTTGCCGACACAAATAATAATAACTGTAGAAAATAAATTTGTTGTATATGGGTATAACCAGAAATTGTATATCAAAACGTAATCATCTGCACATTACCTGCAGCTCGTACGCTAATAATTTTAATGATAATGACTTTTCTCGAACGAGGAAATTGTGGCTGTCGTTTCCTTCAAAGGAATTCTATAGACATGTTAAAATGAGTGTTCTAGGGAACTTTCAAACCCTCACAAACAGACTACTAATATCGTCGTAGGCGGAATCCATGTGGTCTTTTCATAAAGGTACTTTGTTTGAAATAATACAGATACAACATTACCTTTGTGACCGTTAAAATATTTTAGAAATAAAACAATTTACTACGTATGTATTTTTTTTAATACTTCGTCTATATTTGATCAAAAATTGGAAACCAACGAATGTACGTCTTATATTTTTAATATTTTTATTTCTATATTTTTAGTAACATACTAGTTAAAAATACATAACCCCGATTTTAGGTATTAACAAAAAAATTGTTCCGAGACACTGGGTGCTTCGTGCGTAGGCTGATTTTAAAATAATCTAAATATTGGCCTGTATATTCTCTTCTATAATATACTTACTGTATAATAGAGAAAAAAGTATTCCATAAAAAGATTTATTTATTTTCTTGACTTATGTTTATTTATATATTTTTTATGGATCACTTGCAGTTGACGATACCGTAGTAACAATATTACAGTATTCAATTTTCAATTGATGCTTAAGCTCTGAAATTTGTAGATCAACCTTAAAAAATAAATATAATTAACAGAATAAATTAAAAATTGTACATGATTAAAAATATAACAATTTTTTCGTTCAAATAAGAAAAAAAATTAAAGAATAAGACCCATAAAAATTATAATTTCTTTTAAAATTTAGTTGGATATCTAACTCAAATTTATATATAGTAAAATTCACTACAATATTTCTTTACTTACAATAAAATAAATGTTATAACAAAGTAATTCAAATTATAATACTATGGTGATAAGATATTAAAAAACAAATCTGTATTTGGTAAAAATTATTATTTCATCTATGAAATTGTTTAATCGATTTCAGGTTTATTCAAGTTTCTGTTCCACATCAACGATCATATTGATTTTAACTATTTCAATACCCTCGAAAAGTTATTTATTTATTTGAATAATGGCAGTGAGTGGTTTTAATATTTATTTTAATAATTGAATATGTTTTAACAGTTTAACCTATTAATGTTATTAACAACTCTTAGAATAAAGGAACCACAATTAAAGCTGCATTAGCGGAATGGCAGGAACAAAATAAAATAGAGTTATCAAAAGCCACGAAAGTTGAATTGCAATTTCGATGGCCACCAATTGAAAAAATGGACAATAGTTTATCAGTTTTAACAAACTGCGAGTAAGTAATAAAATATAGTTCACTGCACGTAATTATTTTGTACTCGTAGTTATTCATTACAATTTATTATTATTTAAAATCGTCAGTATGAAAGAACCATTTGATACATCTTATGGTTTCGATATTATCATTATCTCCTGAGAGCTTGGGTATAAATCACATCAGTCGAAATGGGCTGTATACTTTCATTTTCAATATTTATATATAACATTTATCATTATTCTCGCTATGTCTGATACTCTGTCTAAACATCTGAAACTTGATAGTAGTATGGTCAAGGCGAAATCCATCTTACTTGTAATAAAAAAAAGAAACATAAGATAAAAATTAGGACAACATAATACCCAGGTAACGCTTCCTCAAAGTTTTATAAATAAAAAAAAATTCATTTCATGTACTTAACAAATTAGTTAACACCATTTATTGTGTTAAAATTAGCCTGCATTTTACGTTTCTTAATTACTATCATATGTTTATATATATAGAATATATTCCTGTCAAATCTATAATGCCAACCAGTCATTATCACGAATATTTATTTTGATATATTTTTATATCTTTTGTTGATATGCGTGTTTAAATATTTACTGTAGATTATTATCATTGAGCACAAATTGCATCGAGAAAATAAATGGCCTTGCGAATTTAAAAAATCTGAAAATATTAGCCTTAGGGCGAAACAATATAAAGTCTTTAAGTGGACTGGACTCACTGGCTGATACTTTGGAGGAATTGTGGATTTCATATAATTATATTGATAAAGTGAAAGGCGTATTAGGTTTGCACAAGCTAAAAGTGTTGTATATGTCTCACAATAACATTGAAAGTTGGAGTGAAGTAGTAAAACTCAATACATTGGAAAGCCTTCAAGATTTAATACTTAAGGGTAAAGTGATTATAAAGAATTATACCTATTTATCATTATGAACAGTATTATGTTTAAGTATAATTTTTTTAGGAAATCCATTGCCTGAGGCATTAGGCGAAAAAGCATGGCAAACCGAATGCATAAATAAGCTTCCCAAAATATCAATATTAGATGGAATTCCAATTATAAGAGATTCTGATATCTAATAATGATATTATTTATTTATATATTATATAAACCATTGTGAATTAACCTTTTATTGCATATTGTACCATATATGTCACATACCGGTTTTTTATTATTTGTGTCTAAAATAAATGAAATATTCCAAAACTGCATGCATGGCTAGATTTGTTACAAAAGGCAAATAAAAACTATGTAAGGTGCTGCTCTCTAGGATTAAAATTGTGCTGGCTAATACGAATAATATCATTGATATAATAATCATGTTTTCAGTTGTGTTGTTGATTTCAAACAATGATAAGTCATTTTTAAACGTACGAATTTCGTTCAAAAAAATATGAATTAATTCAAAATTTTACACTTTATCCAATCATTTTAAGTACATATTTATGTATCAAATATTTGTTTAGATACAATCAAATGCCAAATTTGGGGAACCCTGCACTTATGACTTAACTTTGTATGCTTTATAAATTATGTTATACTTAGTATTCGAAATAATCATACCTACAGTTAATTTTCCATTATAGGTTAAAATTATTTACGTGTTACGTGTTGTACATGACCTATATTGTAAAATTAGGAATTTTTATAATAAAACCTATAATGAACAATTGGGTTATAGCCTAGAAGTATTTTAATATCAATATTAAATAAAATATCTGTATTGCAATTATTTAATAATTACGAAAAGAATCTAGAAATATATTGATTTTACAATTAAGTGTAATTATTTTGTTATGCATATATGTATAACATGTATAGGTATTCGTTTTTTTTGCATGGAAAGCACTGAAAAATAATAATATTTTTCTCTAACAATCTATTGGAAAATCAACACAGATGCTACTTTTAAGAAGGAAATAGTACATATTTTTAAATAAAAGTTAAAAATATCAAAATTTGAATTGATTGAATTTAATCCAACAATCAATAAATCGACCCTGGGAAATAACATTGTAAAAAAATATAAACACTGATATATTTTTTCTCACGATTAAAATATTTGATTTACTAATGGCACGCTTTTATAAATAGGTACGTAAATTGGTTCTTATTTGAAATTATTTAATTCTACTTAATGTACGTAATCGAATAAATGTCGATCATATGAAAAATTACATCGCATCTACATCTTTGTTTAGCTTATTACATACATTAATGTATTAATTGACAAACACTTTATACTGTACTTATTATTTGAAAAATATACTTACTTTAAGTTGATATAACAATGTTCTTCTATATTGATTAGTTAGTACTCGAGAGATATGAAATCATTTATACGTAGGTACACACACACACACACACACACATATATATATATATATATATATTTTTTAAAATTTAAAATATACAGAAAAATTCAGACCTGAGAAGGCATTGTTTTGTTATAAAATACATCTTTTTTAGTTGGAAATGTGAGCTTTAATTACGTATTTAATTTATCAAGCAAAAATTATGGTTCTTATATGTATCAACAGTAAAATATAAAATAGATTGCCCGTACATTTTTTCATCGCGTAGGAAAACACTAGTGGTATTAGTTATACAACTTATAATATCAAACTAAAATGTGTACACTTTTTTAATGTATAAATCGGAAATATTACTGATTCATTTAAATCAATAATATAATTAAATTAATTGATTATATAATAATAATATTATATCTATAAAATAATATTATTATCATACATACATAATATACATATCACATAATTATTATGTTTAAGTATATGCTATTGTATAAAATAATAAAATGAAACGTAACAATGAATTCCTGTCGTATAACAACAACAAAATAGGCAGTGAAGCGCATTGTACACAATATCGACAAACCAACCAAATCACTATGTACTATGTATTATGTTCTTTCACAAAATATAGCGTACGGTGAATTAACGAACCGCAATTAAAAATACATACATTAAACATTTCATTTTTTCCCGAACAGCCTACGAACTTAATAATAAATATAATATGTATTGTAGAGTACATAATACCACTGCTATATAATCACTAACAATTTATTATATTAAAATTATTTAATAATATTTTCAACCAAAGTTTAGATGTATTCAACAATAACCATCGATAAAATAATTTAATTTAGTAAGTGTTACAGATTTGTTTTCCAACATAATTATATAATTTTAAACATTGTTATTTATAATGTAAGCGAAAATTTGCGTAATCTAATTTACTCTGTATACTATTGTTAAGTATAAATTATAAACACTAGACCGACTAAGTTAAATTAGTTTAGTGGTAACTGTTACTGTAACAATAATAATTTTGTAATTTTGAAACACATTTAGAACGTTTGCAATAATAACATAAAGAATGTACTAGCTCAAAGTTACATTTTTTTCAATTCAAGTTATTTTTGGCCTATTAACTTCCGTAGCTTGAGTCAAATATACTAAACGCCATGTAAATGGGGGAATCTTGTTCGAGATAAAATCATTTACATGTTTTTTCCTTGTAATATCAGTAGTTTGATAATAATGCAGGTATTGTATCAATGCGATATTACAGTAAATACATTTTCTTATCAATGCCGGTTTTGATATTCAACTTATTTTGCGCTTATCCATATATTATCTCTTTATTGTCGTACACGTACCTGACTCACATTTGAACACTTTCTATACGGTTTTCTGTTAATCTACAAAAATCCATTCCCTGTTTTTGTGAGTTGGCAGTTGGCGTACAATACGTTCTTATTGTTGTCAAGCCGATAACATTTTTGTGTTACGCAACATGCATGATGTGCATAGAAGTTGTACGTCTAAATCTTTGAGCTAATATTTATACAAAAACAACCACAATTCTCATTTAAAAGATATATATTTGATTTAAAATATACATCAGCGTGGTTATTTTAAAATGAAAACGAAAGTTTTAGAAACAGATTTTTGAAAGTTTCAAAGGATATATCTGACTTATAATTTAATTTGACATCATACTACAAAGAGTTGTTAAAATATTTTTATGGACAAGATATAGAAAACGTTTGTAACAAATTATTTGATCAATGAATAAGAAAACTAAATATTAAAAACTCGAGGTGAGATAATTTAATAACTGAAATAAAAATACGATAAATACGATAGAAAGTTTAAAATTCAACGGAATGAAAATCACTGAATATTATAAGTTATTAAGGGTATACATTTATAAAATTAATGTATCATTAAAACTATAGATGCAGTTATAGTGTTTTCATATATGGGTGAAATGAGTAAAGATGCACAGTAATTAAAACAGCCAGTTGATGGAAAACAACGGTTAGAAGGTAACTAAGTATACTACTTTAAGGTAATTAATAAATACTTTTATAATGAAACTCATTTATGTAAAATGAATACATAATCATTATCAGAACAAATTCTTCGTTTAATACACAGAATACAATTTCTGCCGGGGACGCAAGTATTAAGAATTCGTCAAGATTTAGAGTTCAAAAGATAAATAGAGTTTAATTACCGTTTACATATTTTATTTATAGCAACGCTTAATATTGAAATGCAAATTAATATCAAATTATAAATATATTTTTTATTGTATTGTTGATATTTATTTTAACTATACAAACATAATTGCGTTATTATTAAGATATTAATACTCATTTATTTGGAAAAAATATTGAATCGATTTTATGATATTAATTTTTATTCGATGCATAACTCAAAAAGCGTTTTGAACAAAAGTATATGCTAGATTCGTAGATAAAATATCTATAGATAAACAACATTTATTAATTTATTAACAACATGATATATTGGCATACTTTCTTAAAACGTATTAATATTATACAAAATAGTTGAAGATTGAACATACCTATCTACTTTGAAAACATAAATATTATAATTTTATATTGGCTATTTACCGAATAATATAATCACAACTATAACAATAAACGCGATAAATACAAGGTGAACGCAAACTACCTTTTTCAAAGTAAATACTAGAAATGAAAAAAGAAAATAATATTGCTTGAACTACGGCTTAATTTAGATCTTATCAGATAATGATGCGTGGATTAGAATATTATTTTAAATCTTAAACACATAACTCAAGACACTACATTATCAACGCCAATTTTTTTACACTCATGAAAATTGAACAAAGTCATAGGAGTGGATGTGTATTTTTTTGTCCTGAGTACGTTCAGTCGATCTTCAGCTGAACTATACAAGACGAACGTCAAACCACTAATATTGCTTTGGAAGACGATTGACGTATTGCTATACAAAATAACTTGTAATATTTGATTTTCGTTTTCAATGTAAAAGACATGCAACAAGTTCCGTTAGATAATGGTTTCACAATATTATAGTTTATTTATGAACTATTTCCACTTCAATTTTTGAAAAATGTTAATCGACTATATTATATGACATTTAGATTTCAATACTACCTAAATTGAACATTGCGGTTTGAGCGGAATAATTAGTTTATTTTTAAACATCGTGTTTAAAATATAGCACAAAAATAATTAATTAATAAACAATATTAAAAAACGATAAGATACTAAATAATTACCTACGTTAAGTTGTATGTATTTAAAAAATATACGACATCTGTTTCCCTTGCAAAATTATTAGAAATAAGTTTACATGAAACAATCTTTACAACAGAGTAAAGATTCACGTTTTGAAATAAATAAAGGGTTGCTATTAGTTTATTTTAATATTGGTAAATTCGCTAGCGTATTACAAAATTATGAAAAAAGCTGTACGAACAGCAGTCAAAGTTAATCAATTGATATAAACACTAAATATCTCAATATTTTTGACAATCATAATGTATGGGTCTAGAAAAATAAATAAAAATTTATGTTTGGGTAACAAAAACACCGATATTATAACACCGAATGGTAACAAATATACGTTTAACTCAAAGTATCAAATAATTTAAAATGTATTGTGCGATCGTTAATGGCAAACAAATGAAGATTTTTGATTCGGAGAAATCGTGGATAAAATAATTTTTATCTACACCAGATATTATTACCTATCTTATAAAATTGAATATCATCTACCGTAGAAACAATCGGTTTGCGTTTGGCGTTATTCAAATGTATAAGTACTCAGTTGTTAAATTGGTGACATTTGTCACTCATGTAAGATGTACTAGAATTTAGCGTACCTAGTACTTAATTTTTACCGAGTACCCGGTATTCATCTATTTTAAAAACAAGGCTAACTGTATAGATCGCAGCAATAACATTTATATTGTAATATATTGTATTAAATAATAATAATAATAATTATAATTCTTAATATTAGTTATAATATTAATCATAATAATGATGATAATGGTATACGCATAACGACGTTTGATTCGTCCGTAATCGTTGGAAAATATTGATTTTATCAATGTAAATAACACATTATGGAAATGCTTTTAGGAAATCTAAATAAAAAAACCTCCGAGAAAGATACAAACAGCAAGTGTTAGTATCGATAACAGGTCTATTTTATTTTTTATTCGCTAAGAAATTGTGTATATATATTAAGATATATATATATATATATGTGTGTGTGTGTGTGTGTGTGTGTGTGTGTGTGTATGTGTGTGTGTATTAGCACGAAGATGATACGAAAAAATAATTACCGGAAGCATATAAAAACAATCACGGTACACAAAAGGAAAATGCGGTTCATGGCAAGGCGTTACTGTATGGTGCATGACAGGAGCATATGATAATGAAATAAAACGTGTAATTGTGTAATTATCGTTATGTCCATGTTACACATACGTAAGTAACCCATGGGTTTTAGCAGGATTTGTGGTTTTTACTTCAATTTTTCACTTGTTCACCATTCGCGTCTTCTCTTCATTTTTACCACTAACGTTATGCAAAACAGTACTGCAATGATATGCTCATGCAAAAAAATAGTAAAACCGGTAGGCGATGTTGTCGAATTATGCTAAACCGTTATTTATAGCGATTGTCACTGTTGTACCACCGTTCGCGCAAGTATATAAGATGATACGTATACTTTGTATGTGTGTGTGTGTGTGTGTGTGTGTGTGTGTGTCTTGGTTCGCATATATATATATTTGAATGATTATATACCGTAGCAGGAATTTATATATAAATACATATGTTTTAATTATTTAAATGTTAACCTCTTCGTCGGCGCGACGTCGATTACGGTCGTTCCTGCAGTTGGCTCCAGCACTTCGTCCATGCTCGCCACCGTTGTCGGCGTTGTTTTCGCCGTCGTCGTCGTCATCGTCCAACACTTCCTCGTCGTCCTCGTTGGCCAACTCCTCGTCGTTTTGCCGGTACCCAGGGTGCTCGGATATGCCGTAGTAACTGCCGTTATATATGATGCCCAGCTCCTGGAGCACGTCGCCGCGTATTGTCGCCTTGATGGTCCAATTGTAGCAGTCGGTGGCCTCGTAGTCACGGTCCAGCCGCTCGACATCCACGATTTTCGAGTTGAGCCGTTCCAGTATGATGCCGATGTCCTTGACGGTCAGATGCTTGTCCTGTTTGCCGGTCAGCTGGTCGATGAGCAGCAAAAACTTTTCGCTGGTCATCGAGTCATCCTCGATCACAGTGGTCTCCGTCTCGGACTCGGAGCTATCGTCGGAGCGCTGGTGCTGCTGTTGCTGGTGATTGTGGTGGTGCTGGTGGTGCTTTCGCGGGCCACCCGGCGCCTGCTGTTGTTGGACGGTCGACGCGGGCGATGACGGCGGTAGAAGTGGTGGTGGGGGCAGTGGTGGCGATCCGTTTGCGTCCAGGAACCGGACGTGACCCTTGGGCGATGCGCGACGCGTGCCGTCAGACAGCGAGGACGTGGGCTGCTGTTGCGATGATGACGACGATGACAACGGCGGCGGCTGTGCATGGTGGCATTCCTGTATGGGCGACGTGGCCACCGATTTGTGCACCGCGATCCGGCGACCCTCCTCGTGCAGCGCGCAGCAATGGAAGTCACACTCGAACCCGTTGTCCACGGACGAAGGCAGCGGCGGCGGTGGCAAGTGCGCACCGGTCGACGGGTCCCGCGCAGGGCTGCTGGCCCTCGGTGAACCAGTGGCCGGTGCCCCGACGCCATTGTTGGCCCCGTGATGGAGTGGAGGCAGCGGCGCATAATGTGCGCACTCCGATGTGTGCACGTGTATGGCCGCCGCGTCCATGGAACCGCTGCCTTGTTTTAAGAGCCGGTAGCCTATTTGTTGTTGTTGCTGCTGCTGCTGCTGCTGTTGCTGCTGTTGTTGTTGCTGCTGCATTTGACCTGTCGGACATACAGATAAAAATGACGCATTCGTTATTCTCCTATATCAACTTTTTTGTTATCCATATGAGGTGACCCCTTCCTACATATATCGTTATACCAAGTTAGTACGTCACTTTTTCATTTATTGAGCGATCCCCTGTTAAAATTTCGCGATTCTTAGGTTATTTCATATCGTGTGTGTACTTGGTAACTTACTCAGTCGTAAAAAACACTATTGTTACGCAAAAAATAAAAAAAAAGGAATAATCAGGGGTTCGTGAATGGGGCAGCCCCCCCTATGGTCTTTTATTTTTTATTCAAATTATTTTTATTTATTATTTATTTCACATTAGGAGAATACATAAATTAATTTATAATAAATAAATTTTCACATAGTGTTGTATTTAACTGCATTCAGTATTTATTTGTTTAAATATTATAATTATATTTAGTACAGTATTATTTTTATACTTTATTTGTATTCTTCTAAAATTGTGATGGGACTGTGCAAATAGGGCTTGACATATTCTCGTCCAAACTAAAAACGGAAATTTATTCTTATCTATCTCCTCCCTTCCTCGAGGAATCGACTTCAGTTTACGCTACTGAATATTGCATTATTACAACAGTAAACTTGGACGATAAAAAAAAATATATACGAAGGACATATGTCTATCAATTACGGTAAGTGGTCGTCTTTTAGAGTAAAGTGAACTAGAGACGTAAACTATATAAACAGAGGTGAGATTTACTGTATATAAATGTCGAAATACGGTCGACATTCTTTCTCGTGAGAGTTTACGCAATGCCTGCATTTACGATAAGCTCGAATCATCCATTTATTTGTTATCTACAACAATAATCACGAAGATGACAATGGCAGTTGTATAATAATGATATATCTTACTACGTTTTCTACGAAAAAGCTACGTAGATCGTTGGTCAACTGAAGTGCAACGATTTAAAACTATACATTGTTTTTTGAAATTTTTTGGAATTTATCATTATTAATTACAAATATTACAACCACAGATGAATACGCTTAGTAGGGGTTCTATTTTAATCATTATTATGAAAGTATGGTGTGCTATATGAAAAATATTTATGTATAATATTAGTCGGTACGGTGAGGTACACTAATATATAATCTATCATTAATATTGATTTATAACTTGTTGACGTTTATAGTATATTGTATACTATAAAACTGTAAAACTTGGGAGAAATTCGAATCTGTTAAGAATAGACATTTTCCTGACATTAATTACTACAATAGGATTTTATTAATAATAATGCGTTGGTGAAAATTTCAAAATTAACTTTATATTTCATTACATACATTGGATAATATTCAATGTTCATAAAACATAATTTAGGAATATATTGCTACAGCTTAAGATGGAATAATTACCGGTTTAAGACACGCTAACTCATTATTTCTCAAGTCCCGGTCGGGAAAATATGTAATACCGGTCTTATAGCAAAAGTAGAACACACTTTGAAAACCGTTCGGTATAACGAACAATTAATAAATTCATGCTTCTAAACATCATCATCGCCATAGAACTTTCATCGTACGACCCTTGTTCAACATCTGAACCCAGACGTCATCAGGCGACTTCCGCGACCGCGTCGACTGCTGTACGCGGAACGAGAGGAGCGATATCGATACAGTTGCGGGCTACTCGGTGTGGTCGACGATTGCCGAAACCGATCGCGTCTCGGTTTTCGGCCGTCGGACCCTGCGCCGCGCCAAAAGGGATTTCAATCAGAAAACTAGATCGGCGGACCGTCGGTCGCGACGTGGCGCCGCGCCGACATCAGCTGTTCCCGTATGCGACGTACGCGTGCGCGCCAACGGTCCGAGATCAAGTTCGATTTCGGTTGCCGGAACGGGCGCGGACGGGACCGCGGGTCGGCGGTGTCCGGTGGGCCGTGGCGTGGATGCAGTAGACGCGGCTGGGATCCGCGACCTAATTATATTATTGCTATTGTGTTCGGGGCGCGCGCGTGCGCCGCGAACACGTAATGCGCACCGTTTCGTTCGTCACCGCCGGCCGTGCGTGACCGGGATTCGTGCCACGGACGGCCGAACCGAAGAACGCGTGGCGACGTGGCACACGTTCGATTGCGCGCACAGTTAAATCGGCTGACCTACGCTCCATCGGTCGACAAATGCGCAACCGTAATGACGTTCCCGTCGATCAGAAAACGGATGTCTTCGCAATGCTGTCGTCGGTTCGAGGACGCGCGACGTGCTCTTACTTGGTAGCGGACGATATTGGTGAAAACTCCGTTTCGACTGTGGGCAACAGTCGAAAAGATAACAGTGGTCTGAACCACGTTTTTTTTTTTTTTTTACCAAACAAAGCGATTACGTCTAGTAAGCCAAGTGGATAGGACGGCGTGTGCTCTGAGATCAGCGGTACGATAAATTACGATCGAACCGTTGTTGCTTCTTCTGCCGAATGTCGATTGTTACCAAACGCCGTGGGAAGCGCGGTCCATCGAATGGTTTGGATTGCCCCTTAAACGTCGGGTTCGGGATTAATATTATTATTATTTCCCCTTCCTCTTCTATCCACTTCGTCAGATCAAGTTTGACGTCCGCGCGGAACACCCTTGTCGGGCTTCGATGCGCAAACGGTATTTTGAAATAATAGCAATTAAAAACCGTTTTCATTCCAATTCGTTTTAACTTTACATGGTATATTACAAAATGTGTTCGAAGTATACGATAAATTGGCGTTTTTTCCTCGAAAATAATATACGATTACTGTTTCGGGAATTATTGCACCGTTGCAAAGGGTGGTCTCGGAAAAACCGTAAGTATAAAATACCGTATCGGAACGGCTGCCGATCGATGGGAACGGAAGTTCTGTAAAGTTTTGTCCCGGGTAGACGTTGTTTTTCGCAAAACTCACATAATAATTATTTTGCTCGTGATTACGGTGCGCGGAATTCCAAAAGAAATTACTGTATAATGCGCGCGGGTTACGGCCTCTCCACCCCCGAAAACTGCAGAAATCGTACAGCAATAACGCATACTTCATGTTCGAAATAAATCGCTTACCGACCCGAATGTTTATTTAGTTTCAAAAGTTTGTCGTTTAAAATTTATTTACGTACTGGAATATTACGTCGGCTAATAAGGTCAAATAATAACAAGGTAATAATAATTGTTAACACATTAGAGATACTTGGTCATCAAAATAATCGCATACAGACTCGTAATCGATCGTAATGCGGATGCAACTTGAAACGTTCAGAGGAGGATATCATCATGTCGAATCCTCTTACGTTTAATTATCGTGACTTGTGTCCGAATGATTAATCGCAGTTGTATTTTAATGGTTTTTTTTTCTATGAAAATAAGATTTGTTTTAATAATGGTCATCATAGTATTTTATTGAAATCGATCGGTTTCGTTAACTTTGGTACATGACTTTAAAAATTAAAAAATCAAATAGAATCATCAGAGGATTTAAATAATATTTTAAATGTATAGCAGGTAATCCACTTAAGGTTTCAACATTTCTATAAATGCAAGTTGCTTGTAATACAATAACAGTAGTTTCTCGAATTTTTCAATATGTTTCAAATTCATTAAAACAACTTGCATCATTTAATATAGCTCTCAATTTTTCAGACTGAATTATATTGCTTTATAGGTCAGTAGGTCACGACATTATTTTTGTAGTGAATGTTTTATACGATGTCTATAATAAATCGAAGATATGAATTTTGTGTTCATATTACGCTTGTGTTTATATACGCTATAAAAGTATGACACTTATAGTATTATTACTTATTAAAAACGTGTTCAGTCAAAGTAATAAATCCTCACATAATTTTAATGAATAACCGTTGTAGATGAAAGTTCTTTTTATGTAACAGCGAATATACTATTTTGTAAACTTAACATAAATATTATCGGTTAGGGACAAAACCTCTCTTGATACCTTTTTGAATTTATTGATCACCACTTTAAATATATTGTTAAGTTGTTAAATTAATATTAAACTAAATAAGTAATACGTAAACTTAAATTTTGTTGTAAATTATTTGAATTCTTCGATAGGTTCTTTCAGCATGCTTACAAAAATAAATATTCGATAACGAGTAATAAACAAATTGGGCTATAGTGAAAATCGAAACATTCTGATTTTACTTTTTTCGTTATGTTTATGCAGGGTTGTCAACTGTCTCGATTTTAGAAGGACATTAATGATATTTAAGTTTTTTACAAGCGTACCGATCAAAGTTTATGCGTTTATGCATAATTTTTCACGGAACATAAGGAAATAACTAACTGGCATTTAAACATATACTTAGGTACATTATTTGTAATATTTGTGAATAATATCTTACCATACACATAGATAAGTATATTTTAAACCGTATCTGTACCTAAATTATACATTTACTGTATTATAATATATAACGTATTGTTATTATTATAGTTTTATTTATGCGGCATTGCCATTTAATCAGTTAAGTGGTACTTGTTATGATAATATAAAATTATAGTTTGTGCTTAGTTTGTGTATTAATTCGTTCCATTATTATCGCATTGAGTTCATTAATATTTTTTCCTGCATCTTTAAATAACAGTACTTTTTATTGGTATACTTTATGTGTAAATAATAATGAGTGGCACAGAAGAACAAATTACTACTCATACTTCACTTTAAAAAATCAGAAAATAAAATTTGTTTGGTCAATGACCAATGAAAAAAATTTTAATGTCTTATGATGGTAAATCAAATATGCAAATAGCGTTTCACATAAATTAATTGAAAGTTTTAGTAAAGAATCATTTAAAATTAATTAATTCTGGCAATCAAAATTACATCGGAAAGTCAACAGCTAAATTTAGCTGAAGTTTGTAGAGTTGTTTATAATATAATACAAAATATATCTTATAATTCCCTCGATTGGGATTTTAAAATGCTTCATCATTAAATATAACGCTTATTAAAAATAATTCGTACGTCAATTTTTCGAATTTAGTAAAA